AGAGTGGGAGAGAGAGAGTGTGTGTGTGGGGGGGGGATAACTAGAGTACGGTCTCAGTTGCGTCAGCAGGCGACAAGAATAACAACACAAAAAATGGGTGTGGGATTGAGGTTAGTCTCTCATGGGAGGGGAGAAGTGTTTTGGGCGTCGGTCTATTTTGACGATGATTCTGACCCCCGCCCCCCTCCCCACCAACCTCTTTCTATGCTCCCCGCCTCACCTACCCCCCTCTCTTTCTCTGTCTTTGGCTTTCTTCTTCCACCTTTCTCTCTCTCTCTCTCTCTCTCTCTCTCTCTCTCTCTCTCTCTCTCTCTCTCTCTCGTCTTTCTCTCTCTTTCTCTTTCCTTCTCTCTTCTCTTTCCCTCTCTTCTCTGTCTCTCTTTATCTCTCTCACTCTCTACCTCAGTGTAAGTGTGTGTCTCTCTGTAGAGAGTGTATTCATTGTCTCCACTCGCCCCCATTTCATCACCCTCTCCGTTCAGCTAGGTCGGTTTGTTGTCAAACACGCCCTGTACACACAGCATTCCCGAGTCCTTGCGCATGCCTGGTGGAGAGGCAGAGGGGCTTCCACGGGAAACCCCACGATGATTGGTTTGAGTTATTGAAGACGGATTATTTCCACAAATTCCATTGGTTCTGGGGGCTTTCTCTGTGTATTTCGTCAACGGTTGCAGTCTTTGGACTCGTACTTTCTCCACGCAAATCCCACGTGCTGAAAAGGGCAGTGCACGCACAGGGGTGATGTCTTGATGGTGATTGAGCGCGTGCCTACAAATTTTCTGACCTGCAAACCCCGAATAGTGCTTGTATGTTGTATTCGTAACCCTTCCTTGAACTTCACTACTTAAAAAGAGGCGAAACTGTGTTACCAAACCAAGATACTGGATTGTAGGGGTCTATTTTTATTTATTTACTTTTTTTGTTTTGGTATTTTTGGGGTTTATTTTTTTCTCTAATGCATAACAAAAGAAGGCGATGCTATAATAGCAAGGTTGATGCACGCAAAAGAGTCCTGGTGCAGAGATAAATCTTGTGAACCGTACTTGCAACAATTGTTCTTCATCCACGGTTGCGTTCTCGTTCCTTCCTTCAGTATGCATTTGCTGGGTAAGTGTACAACAACAACGTATTTAACATTAATAATAACAATTGTTATCATCATCATCGTCGTCGTCTTCGTCGTTGTCGTCCGCGTTGTCGTCGTCACAGTTGCAGTGGCGTCATACCGTAGTAATAATGATAGTAGGAATGATAATTCAAGTATTTAATAGTCAGTAATAGCAATAATAAAGATAATAACAATGATAATAGTTGTAAGTAATAATGCTAATGTAGACAACAACCTTACGTAGAATTGCAGAATAATGTTTATTAGTTTATCTTTCTTTATATATATAGCTAGCTTGTTGTACCACAAATACACCCAACACAAATTCTGTCAGTCATGCAAGATTTTTACCATGGGACCGTTTTTTCCACTTTTCATCTCACCCTTCTGGAAAGCCTTTCCGATAAGGAACACCTTACCTTAGTGTATTTTTTGTAGCCTACATTTGTGCTGGTGTAGATTCTAGAGATATATGTAGGCCTATATCTTTACATATAATATTAGTTCCTGTTTCTGACGATTTCATCAGACGTCAGATTCTCACTCTCACTACTCAGACTTGGTGGAGTTCCCCAGTCCCCCGCTGACCCCAGCTTAGCTCTGCTCGAGGGTAGCGCGCGGGATTTTCACTCAGTTCAGTTGCAGCAGTGTGAATGTGAACGCAGCTAGTCGGCACGATTGTGGGCGTTATTCTGCTGCAGCTATTACTTTCAGTTGTGCTCGAGTTACTGTACTAGATCTGGTACAATGTAATGTATGCATTTGTGCATGTAATTAAACAATAATATACGTTCAAGTGCGAGGTGGATTATTCGTGTAATTAAACAGAAATATGCGTGTTCTAGATCTAGTGCAAAGTAGATTGCTCATGTAATTAAACAAAACTATATGTACACGTATATATACGTTCAGTCAGGTGCTTGATAAAATCTTGCAAAGACTCTTTTTGCCAACGGAAAGTCAGACCAGTTGTGGAATCTCTCACGGTATTTGGACAGACTCCGCTACTACTTGACTCCACCTGTGTGCCTTCCGCGTGTACTTAAAAATGAACAGTCTTGCAGATTTTGATTAGTGCTACACTAATTTTTTTTCTAAGTTTTTGCTTATCTAAGAGGAAAAAAATCAGACGTCCGTGGGTCTCTCTAGATACCAACTGGACACCTTTTGGCTAGACTAGTGGACAGTTGTGATTATTTTTCTATTGCATTGTTATGAGCATCTTCAACAGAACGACGAATTTTTAAACTGTGCTTTCCCCAACAATAGATCTATATAATTTATACTGACTCCTCTGTTGCGACTGGCTGCAAAATAACGAAAAATCATGCACAGAAGTATTGGTAAGTTATAATTAAAGATTTGAATTCTTTAGTCGATGATGTTGTTGTTATGTTTCTTCAATCAAATGTATACGGTTTTGTTGGTCATGCCGCTCAACGATTGTTATTTAATTGCTCCAGTGAAAAGAAAGGGGAAAAAAGTATCACGACTGTTCTACAAACAAGAAAAGAAAATTGAGGTGTTCTTAGTTCTTAATTCAGCATGAAATCACATGTTCTTTCTTTTTTAGGGGAAAGTGGGGAGATGGGGGGGGGGG